ATTGTTACCTATTTTCGTACTTGTTACACTCCCCTGTCTTCTTCCTGCAGCAACCTTATAATTCTCCCAAATTGGTTTATTCCGGCGGTTTGTCGCTCTTCTTGCTCCCATATTGGTGTACACAGCCTTCCCTATATATTGATACCTTATAGCACAGCTAGATTTATTGAATAGTATCGATCTTAGTAGAAGAATCGAAAGTTTGATTTTTTGAATTATTATTCCGAATCACTGTTGTATAAAGGCTTGATAAAACATTATTCTTGATTGGCTTAGTAAAGGTTAGAATAATATAAGATTTTCCATGAACTATCATTTGAAATTCATGTTTGTTTGTATCTAGAATTCCTTGAACTTTTTGAATCTATGGTGTTCCTAAACAAAGAAGATAATCGGGTTTTCCATCATCAATAACAACATGTCCTGTTTCAGTAACCCATTTATTTTTATATTTTATAGATATTGATACATCCTTATGTCCTCCTTCTAATTTCATTATATGATCAGAATTATATCTAAGAGAAAAATTTGGTGCTATCCCAAGATTCCATCCTAATGCCTCATTTAGTGCTTTATTCATAACAAGACATCCTGATGCTGTATTAGCAAACCCATCTGGAATAATTATATCTTCAATTCTACACTGCATATATTCAAGTGATTCGACCCATTTATTTTTTGTAGATGGGTTAATAATTTTTTTTCACATTGCTGGAGATAATAATTCTAATAACTAGTTATCCAATTCTGGAAAAAGGTTTGGCATAGTGACTTTTTTATTTTGTTTAGATTCTGTAACTAAAGATTTGCATAAAATTACTAATTTATTTTGTGATGTCTTACTTATTGTTGGTAATATCCGTTTTTTTTTTTTAAATAGGATGGAGGAGCATGCTATTGATTATCTTTCTCATTATACCCACCTTCATCCTCCTCGCTATCATCTGAATTAGGAGGTGTGTATTGGGGATATATTGGCTTGAGAGATGTAAAATATGATCGAGTATAATTAGATTGGACCGTAGGTTGATTGGGGCATTTGCCCTTGCTATGGCCTGTTTCTCCACAAATTCCACATTTCTTTATATACACTTTTTTCTGTAATTGGTCTGCTAACTGATTTATAGTATCTCGAGTTTCATTAAGCCCTTCTTCTATTCTATCCATTCTGACAGATTGGTTAGATCTTTGTAGTTTTTTATATAAGGCTTTTGCTTGCTCGAGGTATTTAAGATAATCTGGATCTTGGGTAAGTGGATCCATATTATTACCTTCTTGATCTACTATGTAAAATGTCTGCCAAGGTTTTTTTGATTTTATAGAGTAAAACTTGGGTGGAGGTTAAAAATTTTTTACTGTTGCAACTTGTAGTTGTTGTGCTTGAAGTTCAGCCTTTAATTTTTCTATCTTAGCTTTAGATTTAGCTCGCTATTTTGCAAATACATCTTGAATCATTTTTTGCATATCAGCCATGGAGAATGCCGGTTGTTGAGGTATAACATCTGGAATAGCAGGAGCAATAGGTGCATGGCAAGGTTGAGATAGTGCCTGTTGTAATATTCTATGACGTAATTCAAGTTCTGCCAAACTATTAATAATATCGTTAATGGGTTTTGTTTGACCAATTCTATAAATTTCATCTTTAATATCAGGTTTAACTTCAGATAAGAAATGAGTTTTCTTCTGTGCTGGAGTATAACCGAGTTGATCGCCATATTTCTGTATTTTTGCTCAGAATAAAGATACACTCTCATATATGCCTTGTCTTAATGCTCCAATTTCTAACATCTTTACATATTTATTACAGTTGGATAATGTTTTTTTATCCACCAAAGCCTTTGTCCAGATTGTATTCCTGCTAGAATAATAGGAACACCTCCTCCAGCATTTGGTGCAACTGGTACTGCATTAGTTGGGCGTCCTCCTACTATTGTCCAATCTTTAGCAACATTTCGAGCAGGGATAATTTGTGTACCTGTAAGTCCAAGTGGAACATTTGGAAAAGAAGTGACTGCACCCATTATACCTCCTGCATTAGCACCACGAATATGTGCTATTGTTGCACCTATACCAGAGTTATCAAATACATTTTCTAACTCCCAATTTTTATTGTCAAATTCTCTATAATACCATTCTCTCGCTTCTCCTTTTAAGGATCAATCTAATATAGTGAGAATATTTGCATCATTATTTACTCCAGCCAAGGTAATATATGATATGAACCTATCTACGAAATCTTCATGATCTTCTTCACCACCATGGAATTCTGGTTGTGCAAATCCTACAGGTAATGCCATCAGTTGATTTTGCTGATTATTTACTAATGCAAAATTTTGTTGCTGTAAATTTAAAATATTCTGATTTTGATTCAGAATTATTTGGCGTTCATCTTTAGTTTTATTCTTCCATTTTTTATACCAATCATATAGTCGATTTCGCCAAAATTTATCAAGAGCTCTTTTATTTCGACAGTTCTGTATTTGTATACGCTCATCCTTAGTTTTATTCTTCCATTTTATATATCTATCACATATTCGGTCTCACCAATATTTATTAAATGCCCGTTCATTTTCTAATTGCTACAATGCCTGATCTTGCTCCTGCTTATATATATCATGATTCCACTGTTCGTTTACCAGATCTTGTTGCAGGTTAGCATATTTACGTTGAATTGATCTTGTTGATCTTTTAATTTGATTTGTTAAACCGGTTTTACATATTGTTGTATCATTTAAGGATCTGTCTATAGCATTGGCCAATTCAGCTATTGTACCCATATCTAAATCAAAAGTATAATTATCTTGAGAATTTCCATCAGAATTAGATTCATCTTCATTATAATTCCATGCTTGTGCATTTTCTAATGCCTCTTGTGTATTTATAAGTTCTAATCTATCTCAATATCTTAATAATGTTAATGCAAAATTTTGACAAAGCAGTTCTGTAATACGATTTTTTTGCTGATTTATTTTATTAATCCTATTTATTTGATTAACCCTTATTGTATTTATTTCTCGTTTAAGGCGTTCGTTTTCGTCTACTAATCTGGTTGTATAATCTTGTGCTTTAGGTATATTTCCAGCTGATTTTGATATTTTTCGTATTCTGGTTTTTAATTTTGTTTCACGTTCATTGAATTCTGATATTAACTTGAGATTTCCTTGTCTTTCTTTTTATTTTCTTCTTTGAGCTGATGAACGATTCCTTTTAGTTTTGAGATTTCTTTTTTTAACTCCTCTTTCTCTTTTGTAGAAACTTTGATTGTATTATTTAACTCTTCTTCAAGAAATCTTATTCTTTCTTCCCGTATACCAATAATTCTTTCTAAGGTATATAGATGTTGTTTAAAATTCCTATTTGATTCTGCTAATTGCGATACTACCTCATAGAGTTCTTGGTTAGTTTGTTGTAACTCGTTCATTGTTTTTTTATTGACTATAATGCTGTCCACTCGCAAGTTCATACCCAGATATATATTGTTAACTATTTTTTATTATACTATATAATCCCGACAATGAGAAAAATAAATTGGCGGGGAATGGAGAAACCTGTGATTTATATTGACCCACAAAGGGCCCATGATTTGGATAGGGAGATTACTTTGCAAAAATTTATTATAGGCCTGAAGGTTATTATCGAACTGCTAAAAAAATGCGGGATGCTTGTAAGAAGGCAGGATATGAGTTCACTTTAACTATAATAAAAAATTGGCTTAACAAACAGGCCTTATATCAGATCCATAAGCCTTGGCCAAAATTTATCCAATATGCTTCTTTTAACAATATACGAATATTAAATAAAGTACACCAGTCTGATACTACACCTATGCCTCACGATAAAGTTGACAATTAAACTTATAAATACCGAGGAGTGATAAAGGATATTGCAACTAGATATCGGCGCAGTTTCGCTTTGACTAATAAAACAGCTATGCAAATGGCTAGAGAGATTTAGAAAATTTATGATGATCCAAATTGCCCACTTAGCTGGCCAAAAGTTTTAATCATGGATAAAGGAACCGAATATATGGATGAGTGTAGGGATTTATTTCTCAGACATGGTGTGAGAATTCAGTATGCTAAATCTAAACGAAGTGTGGCTATCGCCGAGTGAGATCACCAAGAATTTGAAAAGCATGCTTTTTTTCGCCAAGATGCTATAGACTTACATTTACTATTGACTAATAGATCTAGAGAGTGGATTGTTGACCTTCACATTAAAGATGATAAATATAATGATTCCCCTATGAAGTTAATACATATATCACCCAATGAAGCTGTAAAAAAATCATTAGAAAATCTTTGCGGATCCAGCTGTCAAGCACAAAAGGCCCATAGGTTATGATGAACCCCTCCTATCATCTGATGTTAAAGTTCGGCATCTAATAGAACCTGGTGAACTAGAAGGCTGGAGAAGGAGGGCTACTGATTGTAACTGGTCTCCTGAAATTTTTTCGATCGAA